ATGAGGAGGTGATAGGCCACCTGAGTAAGCAAAAGGAAATAATCAAAGCCATTAAAAAGCAAAAGTTAGAATATTTTTGTCAACAGCCGCATGCAAAAGTGCTGCTGAGTTTCATCCAAACCAGTCCCTTAGGTTTTGAAGCCATGATGTTCTCCTTCTGCCTGGACCACATTTGCCTTCAATCTTCCCCTGGAGGATTAAGTGAAGGACGGCATATTTTTCCGGATGTCGCATCACATGACCAAAATATTCTAACTTTTGCTTTTTAATGGCTTTGATTATTTCCTTTTGCTTACTCAGGTGGCCTATCACCTCCTCATTTGTGATTTTGTCAACCCAGTTTATATATAACAGCCGTAATGTAATTTCTACTTAGTTCAAATGAGAAACATGCCCTTGTAGGCCTGGAATATTTTATATAAAAAAATAAAGACATGTTGAAAGTAACACAATGACAAATACTTTTGGTTCACTTAAACAGGAGAGCCGAGTGGCTTAATTCTGTCTCTTTCATCCCTCTCTTGTAACAGTAGCTTAATTTTTTCTTTCAGCAGTTTGATTTCTTCTTCTTGCTTCATCACTTTCTGCTGAAGAGCACAAATGACCTAAAGAGAACAAAGCAGACAATTATTGCCGCCCTCCCATATGCAGAGTAACGCTAGCACAGGAAGTGAACTACCAGGTAGGAGGGGATCACTTTTCTACGTGGCTGGTCCCTTCCTTTTTTAAAATTAAGGATATCCGTCCTAATTATATCCCTTTCTTTTTTCTTTATTGTGGTGGTTAACCAACGCAGCAGAAATGATATTCAAAATTAGGGGCTATTTATTTGGCTCATTGTCATAAATTACGACAATTATGGGCTAATAATGTAATAATCTGGGCTCATCATAAATTATAATCAACGCTCACAATAATTACGGGCTAATTTGTTTTACAATCAAATTCAGGCTTCAATAAAATAACTGAGTTGGAAGGGGCCTCCCTGCTCAGGAAGAAAACCCTATACCTGTGATGGTGAACCTATGGCAAGCGTGCCTGAAGTGGCACACGCAGCCATGTTGCCTGGCATGCGCGGCGTCGCTCGTTCCTCTTCTGGGTTTCTGGCGCACATGCACACACAGCGATCAGCTGGCCTTTGTGCAAGCTGGTCTTGTGTTTTCTGGCATGAGCATGGGTGCCAGCCAGCTGATTGGCACGTGTGGCAGTAATCCGAAGACTTGTTGGCTGGTGCACATATGCGTGCCGGAAACTGGAAGTTCACTTTTGGGCATGCGCATGCCCCCTGGGCAGCTCCTCTTCCTGATTGCGGCTCTGGCGAGTGCACAAAACACTCCCTTTTCGGGCACTCAATGCTGCCTGCTCCCTCCCTTTTCGGCACTCAGTGCCAAAAAGGTTTGCCATCACTGCCCTATACCATTTGAGACAAACAATTCTCCAATCTTAAAAATCTCCAATGTTTTTGATAAATGTATGATAATTTCGGATAATCAGGATCAGATCTCGCCAAAGCTTACATTTGCTGAATTATGGAAGAGTTCGCTTTCCAGCAGCTGGAGAGCCGTCGGTCTGCGCGATGAGGCGTCGCTGGTCAGCAGCTTCACGTATCTGGCCTGTATTGGCCACTTCCCACAAAAAGTGAGCGGGAGGTTGCCCTGTCTTAAGCCCATCAGAACTTTTGTCCTCTCCATTTCTGTTCCAAACGGCTGGAAGAGTTCGAATAGGATGACGCCCAAACTGTACATATCCGACTAAGGAGATAAGAAATGTTCAGGGTCAGAACCAGGGGTGGGTTCCTGCCAGTTCTAATCTCTTCTATAGAAGAGGTTCCACAAATCTACAGTGCCGTTTAGAACCGGTTCCAGCTCCCTCC